ACTCCTGATTCCAGGCAGTAAGTCTGGCTTCTGTTTCTTTCTCACAGGAAGTCAGTCCCTCTTCAGATGGATTGAAAATTTCAGTTGCTTCTGCCTGCTTCTGGATTCCAAAGCCTTCTGGACCCAGCTTTTTACCTGCTTTTCATATTGTGCTTTTATTTACTTATTAGTTATTTGTTTATAATGTTTCTGGTCCCCAGAGCTGTTTGATTCCTTTCTGATGATGGCTTTATCGTTTCAGTCATTTTTAAAAATATATATGTTTAGACTGTCACTGCTCTTCCCCTTCGGAGCATCAATTTGCAATACTGTTTTCACTTGGAGTTCTCCAATTCTGTCTGAACTGAATTTTCCAGTTGCATTTCCAAAATAGTTGCTTAAAGTAAAGTCTCAAGTGACCCTGCTTATCTAAATACATCAGAAGTCTACATCATTTGAATTTAGGCTAAGAAATTGAACCTCTGTTCTCCAGAGCCTTCTATTTATAAGCTAATGCTGTTCTGCAAGAGAAGTCCTGAATAAATCATTCATTCCTTTGGTTTTAGTTGGTCCACGAGGCTAAATCTATGAAGTAATGTATTAACTATGACATGACATCTTAAATTTTTCATATGAACATGAGTTTGTATGAATTTCTCACATACATTTATATACATGTGAGCACACACACACACACACACACACACACACACACACACACACACACACACACACCTTGATGTTGACTTCTTCCGGATCTGCAAAAACCCAGAGCAAACTCAAACATCCTTATTTTTCCTGATTCCATTTTGAATCACTTAGCATGGTGATTTTTTTGGGGGGCATTTGAATGTCTGCTGCATTTGCTTGGAAGGACTAAAACAATTTTTAAAAATGGAAGCTAGGTAGAAAAAAAATCATCCTCAGTGAGGTAATCCAGACCAGGAAAGACAAACACGGTGTGTACTCACTCATAAGTGCAGATTAGATGCAAAGCTAAGGACAACCAGGTTACAGTCCTCAGCCCCAGAGAGGCTGGGTGGCAGGGAGGACTCTAACAAGGACTAAAGGATCTTCCTGGGAAGAGGAGGTGGATGGGATGTCCTGGGTAAACTGGGGGCTGGGTGGTAGGGGGAGTAAAGTAGAAGAGATGGGGCATAGAAACATGAGGGATCAGGATGTTTGGGTTGTGGGCAGAAAGGAGGGAGATGTCTTGATAGAGGGGGGCCATTGTGGGGTTGGGAAGAGACCTGGAGTCAGGGAGGTTTCTGGAAACCCACAAAGGTGACCCCACTGGGACTCCTGGCAGTGGTGAGGAGGGTGCCTAGACTGGCCTTCCCCTGTGATCAGAATGGTGACTGGCTGTCATCATGGAGCCTTCATCCAGTACCAGATGGAGGCAGATGCAGAAGTTCACAGCCGGCAGTTGGGAGTCCCGTTGAAGAGAGAGTGGATGGATTGTATGGGGGGGGGGGTCAGAATCGTGATGGAGAAGCCCGCAGATACAGCTCACACGAGCTTGTGGGAGCTCGGAGACTCTGGATGGATAGCTTGGGACCGACCAAGGCCTTCTGTATCTGGGATGAAGATTGTTTTGCTTAGTCTTTTGTGGGGCCCCCAGCGGTGGGACCAGGACCTGTTCTGATCCATGAGCTGGCTCTTTGGAATCTATGGTTGGATGCCTTCAGTCTGATGCAGGGGCGAGGAGCTCGGTCCTGCCTCAGCTTGATGAGCTATGTTTTGTTGATTCCCATGGGAGGTCTTATCCATCTAAATGGAGATGGAGGAGGAGTGGATGGGAGTGGGGGTGAGAGAGAATTGGGGGAGGGAGTGGGAGGGGTAGAGGGAAGGAAAACTGGTTGGTATGTAAAATACATGAAAAAATGATGAAAAATGGAAGTTATGGATTTGCTTTAAGAAGTTTCCAGATCAAGGACTTGCTTATTAAAATAACTTTTTAGCATTTACTATCAATGAAGAGCTGTCATCCTGCTGTATTTTGGAATAAGGAGATAGTCTCCTTTCATGAAACATAAGCATTAGTCTATCTGTTTGACAACACACTGTTGTGCATTACCTAGGGCAGTGGAAGAATTAAACACAGAGACTATTGCCATTGTTCTACAGGTATCCTGCTCAGACTGGAGTATGATCTGAGAGCTGAGGATGACCTTGAAGTTCTGATCCTCCTGCCTTCATCTCCTAATTACTGGGATGATGGGCATGAGCAATGCTTTTGGCCCTGTTTATGTGGTACTGGCGTATTGAAGCCAGGCCTTCATGCATGCCAGACTCACTCCACATACACTTCTGTATCTGCAGCATCAAAGGAAGGAACTTCTTTTGGACTGAATGACTATTGAGAGAGGAGGAAATTAAAAGTAAAAACTCTGCATTTTTCCTGAAAAACTATAGCTTTAATATGTACGTAAATCTAAAGAATTACTTTTAATTATTTGTGTATGTGCTTGTGTCTGTGTGTGTGAGTGTGTCTCTTTGTGTGTGTGTCCATGTCTGTGTCTGTGTGGAGTTTATGACTGCACCAGCCAGAACAGGACATTAGATCTTCTGGAGCTAGAGTTACAGGAATGTGTGAGTCATCCTACATGAGTGCTAGGATAAAGCTTCACATGCTCTTACCAGCTCTAGTCATCAAATATTGTAGTTTTAATTATGAATAATCAGTTAGAAAACTTCTTGCCAACTAACAAACTGATTTTGTTCATTGTACCCAAAGGTAGTATTACTTTTCTGGTTACTGAGAAAGTACAACAATATTTGAATACAAGGATCTCTTTTCATATTTTACCGGGGACCCAGTGTTCCTGAAAACTGCTGAAGTTGGCCACAGGGATCACAATTTGTAGCCTGGCAGAGAACATATGGTCACTATGAATGCCATTTTGAGGTTGTTGAGAGTTGGTGAGACTTGAATGTGCTTTTATGGGTATCCTTTATCGATGATAACTGCCATGGTACAAATTATTAAGAACACTTTGTTTGTATTTTTCTCCTTGTAAATGTGCCCCCATGAGCAAACACTGTGGATTTATATGCAGTGTTAGGAGGGCAGAAGAGACTGTTCTTCCTAATCCAATAAAGAACCAGTAAGGAAAATGAGTTACCAGTGAACTTCAGGAAAACCGTAACACATTTTTGTTCATCTTTACCTCTGTTTGAGTCATTTTTATTTGAAGTTTACTTAACCTTCATTCATCTTCAGGATGGGGATATAGGATTGAGTCAAGGAAAGTCACTGATTTTTGTTTGTTTGTTTCTGAGACAGGGTTTCTCTGTGGCTTTGGAGGCTGTCCTGGAACTATCTCTTGTAGACCAGGCTGGTCTCGAATTCACAGAGATCCACCTGCCTTTGCCTCCTGAGTGCTGGGATTAAAGGCTTGTGCTACCACTGCCCGGCAGTTACTGATATTTGAGAGCAACTTAAGTAGCTGATATTCATAGATAAAATTTTCATTAAGTTCTGGACTGTTGGATTATTCTTTTGGTTTGGAAACTAATACAATAAATAGGAAAGGGTCACTAGGTCAAGAAGCCAAGAGACAGAAATCAGACAAAGTGAGGAGGAAAGAAAGACCCTCAACCCCATGTGGGCCTTTGTGAACTGGCAGATGTGAGCACCTCTTCTTCCCGACCCTCTGTACAACTGTGAAAAGGTGCTAAGCAGTATCATAAAAAATATTTGGCAGTCACTGGCTCTGCACACAGCAGGGCTTGTTAGTGACAAACTCAAAGACCCTTGAGCAGCAATAACTAAAAGTTAGTGGTAAATTCAGGAAATTCAATTAAAACAGAAGGATGTTTGGCCTTGACACTGGGGGACTGATGACATCAGTCATGGCTCTGAGTCATTTCCCTAGCGGCCTTTCTGGATGCTAAAGGCAGGCATTCTGGGTTGTCAAGCACAGGGCCTTCCCATGTGCTTCTTTTCTTTTTTTCTAAACAATCTTATTTTATGTACCAATTTACCAATCCCAGTTCCCTCTCCCTTCCACCATCTCCCCATGCCACCCTCATATCCATTCTTCAGAGAGGGTGAGGCTTCCCATGGAGAATCACCAAAGTCTGTCATATCATTTGGGGCAGGACTAAGGCTCCCACCCCCTTACTAGGCTGAGCAAGGTATCCCTCCATAGAGAATGGACTCAAAAATCTATTTCATGCACTAGGGATAAATACTGGATCCACTGCCAGCAGCCCCATTGACTTCCCAGGCCTCCTAACTGACATCCATGCTCAGGGGGCCTGATTTGGTCCTGTACTAGTTCCCAAGTTGTTATACCGGGGTTCCTACCTACCCACTTTCTCAGGTCAGCTATTTCTGTGGGTTTCCCCAGCATGGTCTTGACCCCTTTGCTCATCACTCCTCCCTCTCTACAACTGGATCCAGGAGTACAGCTCAGTGCTTAGCTGTGGATCTCTGCTCTGCTTCCATCAGCTATTAGATGAAGGCTCTATAATGACATTTAAGGCAGTCATCAATCTCATTATAGGGGAAAGGCAAATAAGGTACTCTCTCCACTATTGCTTAGATTCTTAGTTTGGGTCATCCTTGCGGATTCCTGGGAATTTCTAGAAACAGATACCTTGATAGAGGGAGCCATTATGGGGTTAATGAGAAAACTGGCACTGGAGAAATTTCCATGTGTTTCTTTAAACCTTTCCTGCTTTCAGAAGGAAACAGCCCACCATCTCCCTGTCCTTCTCAGCTCTACCTCACAGTTAATAAATAAGCATATGCCAACCCTTTAAAATATTTCTATGTATGTTTTTGAAAAGGTTAACATTTGATTATAAGGAAGACCATGAATTTATTTATTTATTTATTTATTTATTTATTTATTTATTTATTTTGGTTTTATGAGACAGGGTTTCTCTGTATTGTTTTGGAGACTGTCGGTCCAGCCCGGCCTCGAACTCAGAGAGATCCGCCTGCCTCTGCCTCCCGAGTGCTGGGATTAAAGGGGTGAATTTCTAATGAATTATATCAACTTCTCTTTCAGAAATTGATGAGAAGAGGGTGAACAACACTCAAGAAGAAGTAAGTTTTCCTACATTTTGTATAAATGTGTTAAAACACAATTAACTGTGATAACATCATTGTGGTTTTGTTTTGCTTTTCTTGTCTCCTTATTGTGAGGATCAAACCCAGGCTCTCACACAGGTATACTCTCCACTGAGCTACGTGCCCAGACCAGCATATTCTTTGGAACAGAGTTCTTTGGTGCCAGTCTACATTAATGTTAACTGTGTGGGTGATAATAGATAAGAAATATAAACAAATGACATAAATAAATGTCACTGTGACATAGAAAGTATTCAGGCTGCTTTCCCTGAATGGGCAGGAAAATGGTATGATGAAAACCTCTGCCTCAATTACCTTGCTTCTTGATGAAATGGTAAACCCCACAAAAATTTCTAAGTTCACACTTTGATTTTAGTTTTAAGATATGCACCTGATAGTTTTGATTTCCCTAGTGATTATGTATAAACACAAAAAGCAGGTCTAGGCAACATTGAAATTGAATAGTAAGGAGATGGAGGCAGTGTCAGGCACATTTTAGAAGGCCTTCAGCTGTTTAGAGCCAAAGTCACCCCCCTAGTCCAAGTGTGGGGAGAATGAGTTTATCAAGACTCTAGAGCATTAGCAACCAGAACTAATGGGTTCACCAAATAACATGTTCAAATGCAACCTCAGCGCCATTGTATATATCTTAAATTTTCCATATCGAAATGAATAATTCAGATAGGAAGTAGAAGGCAGGGGAGACTTGGGGATCTGATAGAATAGATTAAGGGAGACTTGGGGATCTGATAGAATAGATTAAATATGAAGAAGTTAAGTATGCCCAGTAATGTTCCAAAGAGATAATGGATGGACTGTGGGTGTCAGCAGTTCCCATGATCCTGAGTATGCATGTAACACCCAAAGAGGAAATTCTTGAAAGTGCAAAATACCAAATAATATTTTGCACAAATAATAATTTACTGTGAGTAAATGCAAAAATGCTTTGAAAATTAAGCACTTATATAAAGTAGGTTTCATTATGTTTCATCATTATCTTACTAAAAGACAACATAACACTTCCATAGGATTAACTTTTGGTGTATCTTAGAATGTATATAGGGAAAAAGATACAAGATACAAAGGTAGTAGCTGCTTATCAAGATCAGGCTGACGTGACTGACCCAAGAACGAACAATCTCCCAGAATCATCCATCACTCACGCTGTTAATGTTAATGTAGACTGGTACCAAGGAACTTTTGTCACAAAGAATATGCTGTCTTGGCACATGGCTTGATGGGGAGTGGGCCTGTGTGTGAGGCCCTGAGTGGATCCTCAATATAAAGAGAAAACAACCACTTGGTCAGCCTTTTCATTTGCTAAGCATTTGGGCAAGTATTTGTTTTAATTTTCTTATCTTTATTTTCTGATAGATGTAATTGTATCAGTGAATAACAATATCTGGATGTGATTTTGAGGACAATTTAGTTTGTATTAATGTGCCTCAATTTAAGTTTAAACTTTAAATATAGTTTCTATTTACAAACTCTACACCTTATGTTCTTTCTTATAAGCATTGGAAATATAAAGCCACCCCTCAAATATATACTGTAACAATTTATACTTAGTTTTCCTCAGCAAAGATCACTTTAGACACTAGAACTCATTGACTAGGACCCTTTCTTTCATCACATTAAGATATAAATTAATGTCATTTAAAAAATGCTTCTAAGTCTCATGTATCCTCAGTGTCACTGGATGGTAGTAGCTGGCCTTGAACTTCTCACCCTCCTTCTCTCACCTCTCTAGTGGTAGGATTACACACATGCACAGCTATGTTTATGAAGTGATGGATACCAAACACAAGGCTTTATAGGTGCTAGGCAGCGCTATGTTTCTATCCTTTCAATAAATATCAGTGTCAAAAATATAAATAAGTAATGCATTGTATTGTTACATTGCATCAATTAATATACATTGTTAATAAGTCATTTGGACACTATCTGATTAGTGAATGAACCATATACATGATAAGAAAAAATAATATCTATAATATATAGATGATTCCATATGATTATAGAATGATGGTTTTGACCATGAAGTATGTTCTTACTTTTATCATTTTAAATGAAAAACCTCTTAATAATCTAATCCTGATCTGGGGTATTTAGGTAACAATGCTATGGAGAAGTTTTGGTTAGAAATGACTTATCATTTAGACAGAGTAATATTACCATAACATTTTCATTCTGAGTAAGGCAGGGCTTAGATTGAATGTGGGAATTCAAGAGAGTTTTGGATTTCTTTTATGAATTAAGGACTCCAATCTCCTTGGAACACTCATTAATTACAGAGGCAGAAAAAATACACACACATACATACATATTATGTGTATGCCTATAATCTATATCTGTATCTATATACTACTGGAATATTTTTGAAGTATACTTTGTCTCAGAACCCATGTTTCTCTTGCAATTAGATTAATATCCTTTTATTTCCTTAAAATAAACTAATCTAAGGGCAGGCAAGCTGGTTCAATAAGTTAAGGCACTGGCACTTGCCACCCAAGTCTGACACCTCAGGTTTGATCTCCCAGACCCACATTGTGAGAGAGAAGAAGCGATTCTACAAATTATCCTCTGACCTAGACACACGTGTCATGATATGTGCACACCCACACATATACACACAATTGACAAATAAGCAAACAAACAAATAAAAAATAAATGAAGCAGTACAATTACACACAATACCGTTAAACTAATGTTAAAAAGGAAAATACAATGCATGAGAATTTCATGATAAATAGACCTTTGACTTTATATAGCTCAGAGGGAGTTCTGTGCTATCACTGAGCATGTCTGTTACAGTTCTACTTGACAGAAAGACATCAGAAAGCCCTTTGAGATACAGTGCAGTTTTATCTATGTAACATCTGACAGCAATATGCTTTTTACGCATGTCTAAAGCTTTCTATTTCCTTGTCCGCAGTCGCAGAATGCATCACCTAAGCAAAGGAAGCAGAGTGTGTACACACCACCTGCCATGAAAGGTATTGTTCAGGTACCATTTGGGGGTGTCATGAGTGATGGATGTCAGGACTGGCAGGCTGTTTGTCCCTAAGGCTGTTAATAGATCTTATGCTCGCCTCAGCTCTGCCACTCTCAGCAGGGTGGTGATCAGGAAGATGTTTACATCTTGGAAGCATTGTTTGTAGTTGAAGAATTGATGACTGCAATCTGAGAATGGAAAAAATCAATTCTCAAAATTGTGTCAAAGAGTTTTTTTCTTTTACCTTTCCTTATATCTTTTCTTTGAGAGAATTTTCCCATAATCTTTAATTATTCTTACTGATTGGCATATGATTATCAGGTTGGTTTTTTTTCCCCCTTAAGCAAAGCAGGAAAGGGTGAGCTAGGTGAAAATGGAATGTCAAGGTTTGCCTCATTGCCTTATGTCAGGAGCATGTCTGCTGAACCCAGTCTAGCACCAATGTGCTGTACTCCTAACAGTGGCCCAAATCACAACCGAGAATGCTAGCTCAGATGCTGGCATTTTCCCAGAATTTCTCTTCAAAATGGAACTGCCAAGTAACATCTAAGTGTATTAGTATTTTGACCAATACTAGTTCCAAGAAAGACTTCTTTTCTTTTTCATACAAAAATGTTCCTGACACAGGCTGTGTCTGTTCAGGCCAGTATCTTGCCTTCCAGCTTGGCTCCGTGGCTGCTGGCTCAGGGTTCATCACATAGCCCTCCAGTTCTGATTCAGTACCCCGCAAGTCAGCAGGGAAGCTTAGAAGTCTAAACTAAGAGTGAGCATTTCTACTTTATTCTCCTTTCAGGGAGGTGGCATATAAATGGACCCACAGCTACTCTCAGTAAACTTCCATCCCATGTAGTTAGAAAAGGCTGTGTCTGTACAAGGATGAATAAATAATGCATTCATCTGTATTGTAGTTTATCCCAAAGTAATTACTGAAATTCCTACGCATCCCTGTCTAAAGATTAGTGCAGCATTTTAAAGGTATTTCTTTACTGTAAGTGATTTGTATTCTACAAGACACATCAGTTTTGGCATGAATGGACAACAATGAAAGATATACGTGCAGTTTCCCAATTCTTTCCTCTGTTTTATTTTGGGATAGCTTAAGCTAAATAAAGTAGTCCTCATGTCCTCGGAGAATATATTATTTTGAAAGGAAAATCTTAAACTCCAAGACCTAAGGGGCCATGGTGCTCATTATTTTTAGCTCTCAAATATCTTAAGAATGTGGGATTCTAGCCTTTAAGGAAGTGAGTTTTATGGAAGCATTTTTATATAACTTTGTACTGTGGAACCATTGTTTTTCAACAACCACCATCTATAGCAATGAGGTACAGCCTGAAGGAAGTACAGCTGAGCTTTCAAGAAGGGATCTGAGCTTTGATACAAGTGACCTAGTGAATATCGCTGTGAGTTTTCAGCTATGATAGAAGAAAAGAAATGATATCATCCATCTATCTGTTGCTAAGAGCTGGGAATGTGTGTCTGAAGACTAACTGAACCATAACATATGGTCTATTGTAACACAAGGTCTGTTGTGAGCGCAGTGAGGGGATTTGATCATAAGGAGGGTGACTGAACAAAGGGAGTGTCCTTGAGATCTTAAACACATTAATACAGTTGCCCCAAAATATAGAGTTCTTCAGACTGCTGTGGAACATTGTAATATGTGAGAGGAAATGGTTTGCAGGGAGTACAAAGCACCAACACAGACAGTATAGAGTTGTGAAACAAACAAACAGAAAACAAAACAACAAAAAGCAAAGAGACAATTATGCCTGAAACTTTCTTTATCCCCCAAAACTTAATTCTTAGTGCAACAGACATCTGATTAGTTTTTGCTAGCATCCGTATACATTGTTGACACATAGTAAACTGACTCTGAATCTAAAGTTTCTGAACCTCTTTTTGTACTGATTTCCATATTCTCTAATCAATTCTCACAGCAAAATTGTAAGTCTTTTTTACTCCAGCACTGTCATCTCAATAGGACTTTCTGCTTTTAGAGCTGGGTCGTTGGACTGACATATCATAGTTTGTCTCCTGATTCTATCATCCATTATGTTTTCAATTATCTCAGTGGTGTGCCATCCACAGAGAAAATAAATTTCTCCTTCATATTCTTAATCCAAGTCTGTGACAAATCTATCAAACGGAACAAAATGCAGAAGGAAAAAGAGGGTGCCCTGGAGCACACGGGTGTCCCTCTGGTTGATACTCAGTTCCGACTGCCACAATGTAACAATTATCTACCACACATAATAGAAAGCTATTTTTTCAAATCAGAGGTTCTCAGAGGAACTCGGTTTTTTTTTTTGACATGGTGATATGTTTTAGATATTCTGTGCTCATCACACTTTTATAACTGCATGGATCAGTCATAAATTTAAGATGTGTATTTGTACTTTAAAATGACAGAAGTTGATATTTTCATCAAAAAACCTACTTTTCCCTCACAGTATAATCTAGTGCTTTACGATCAGATAAGTAGAAAGTTCTGAAGATTATCATAAAAATGGCAGGGGATGATTGGAGGTCCCTGTACACTTTCCTAGCCTTTGTTTATGTGGTTGTCAGCCTGCAATTTACAGAACAGCCAATTAAATTGTTGGATTGCTTGAATCTTGTTTATAGACAGCAAAGTGAATTTGAATCTTGGCAAAGAAAATGGCTGACTCATTTCCACCTCTGTCACTCTCTCTCTCTCTCTCTCTCTCTCTCTCTCTCTCTCTCTCTCTCTCTCTCTCTCTCTCTCCCTCTCCCTCTCTGTGTGTGTGTGTGTGTGTGTGTATGTGTGTGTGTGTGTGTGTGTTCTAATGGAATTCAAGTGTGTTTTACTGCAAAGTAAATGATATTGATTTAAATGGAAACCTGAATATTAAGCATAGGCACAGATAGAAAATGCAGTTACTGTGGCAAAGCCCATTAGTATTATATTTCTATTCTTAATGTATAGTGAGTCAAACGCTTCGTTTACTTCAGGAAAACATCTTCTTTCTAATTTCTTATAAAAGAGAACTTTAGTTGCTTTAGTGTCCTGTGATTATTCTTCTGGGCTAATGTATTGGTGAATCTTTAGTTGTATAAGGCCATTTTAGCCTCAGACCTTTATTTTTAATTCCTCTAAAGATGGCTTCAATCATAAATTTTTAATCTTAATTCAGCCACCTCTCATAAATAGAGCAATAAATGAAATTAAGGAACGACCCAGTGTAGAAATCGAATGACCTAGTAGGAAGGCTAAAACAGTTTTAAGGAGTGGAGCCAAAGACTGTGGCAAGCGGTATGAAATATCACTGGCGAATGATCCATTTTATCTTTAGGTGAAATTGTTTGTCATACTGATTTCAGGGGAGCCAGCATGAAAGAACACGGGCTTTGAGTGACAACTCATCAGGATCCAAAGCTTAGCATTCCCAGTTGTGAGCTGTGTGGCCTTCAGAAAACCAGGGTCAGTCTTTTTGTCTTCTCTCGTTGATGACACGGAGATGATCTGGCATGGATTGCTAGGGAAACTGAAGCAAAACATGAGCTGATAATACTTAAAACAGGCATATCATAAGCAGGTCCATTTTAAGTTGTTATTTGGACCCTGAATGGAGAATGAGGTGCAACCACGTTCATTTCCATCGAGATCTTCAGAGTTCAACAACGAGGATGGGGGGAATGCATAGCCATGGCTGGGAGAAGGACGAAAAATACTGCTGCAGATCTGACCTTGCCCAGTGGGAATGAAGTCTTCTCCAAGGATGCCTAGTCTTGCACAGCACAGGTTCATCATATCTTTCAAGAGAGACCATGATTTTATTTAGTTCAGCTACAGTCAGACTTAGAAAGTTTTCTTTGACATTCTAGTTCCCTTTCAACACAATCTAGTTGTAACTTCATTTCACCCAGTGGCTCCTCACAGATGCCACACCGCACTTTCCCAAGTGAAGCAACAGAGCAATCAGACAGTGATCCAGAAAGCATAGGAGTGGTGAATTTTGGTGTTGGCACAAAATGAACACTAAATATGTATTGTCAGGGGGCTCAGTAACCTACAGGCACACAACTCAAAGACAGTAGGGGTAAATTAGCAATGACTATTCTATGATTGTGACTCAGGAAGTCCTCAAAAGGAATCAGTCAGCACCACACTTGTCTGGCTTTACTAACTACTGTACAGAAACTGAAGGCAATGAGAGAGGGGGCAGGGCATTTGAGCGGCTTACCAGGGTATCTCAACCCCATCTGTCTCTTGAGAACAATGGTTCTTCTGCCCTTCATGCTGCGGTGACACCCAATAAATTATTTCATTGCTACTTCATAACTGTATTTTTGCTACTGTTGTGATTCGTACTATAAATATCTGATATGTGACCCCCAGAGGAATTGTGACCCTCGGGTTGAGAACCTTGGCTTTAGAGGATTTCTGACTTTCTGAAGCTCTTCTACAGGTACTCTCATCATATCTGTTAGTATCTATCTTGGGCTTTTGTTGTTGTTTTGTTGTGGGTTTTTTTGTTCTGTTTTGGGGGGTTGGTGTGTGTGTGTGTGTGTGTGTGTACTATGCAGGGTGGGGTTCACTTGTTCAATACAAGATTTCTAGATAACAACACACATTCTTATTATACACAAATATTGCTTCTTAAAAATATGCTTCTGTTTTTAGAACCACTTCCTTCGCTGTTCTTTAATTACTTCCTCTGAGTTTTAAGCTTATATTCCCTCCCATCTTTGAAAATGGAGGGTGGATTCATTTTGGAGAACTAAGAATGTACCCTTCTCAGAAGTCAAGTAGATACTTTTTTTTCTAAGAAATCGAAAGAGAATGGAGCAAAAAAAGGGACCACAAACACAGACTTCTTGTTATGTAGCACCAACATAGACTACAAATTTGAGGATTAAATAGTCAGGAGATGAGTTAAACCTCAAAATTTAAACTTGGGATCAGTAACTTAGTCAACTTCATGATGCCACTTAAACATTTGGAAGTGAAACACCATTTATTAACATATTCCCACCTTTTTGTTTCT